AAGTGCCTTCCTAGCATGAATGGGAGGTCCTGGATTTGAACTCTAGAACTCCTAGGAACTGGCTGTGTGGTACATACCTGCAGGTCCGCTATTCAAGAGGTAGAAGCAGGAAGATGAGGAATTCAAGGTTAGCCTCTGCTATGTGAGATTTTTGTTTTGAAAAACAGAACAGGATCTCCTGGATCTGCACTGCATTCTTGAGTCCTTTTACAAAAAAAAATTGAGTCATCGATGAATATTGTGAATATAATAAATAATACGTGAATTGTACTTGCTAGTATAGAATTGATTTTTCCTGCTAAAATGTACGAAAAAAATTAGTTCAGTAATCAATGTTTTCTTATTATGAATGGAGAGCTGAGAATCAAAGTAATAAAACAATAGATTGGCTTGGCTGTCTTAATAACTCAAAGTGTGTTTTGTTACAGCGAGCCCACCCAGGAGAAAGTCAAAACATCTGCATACGTGGAACTATTAGACAGCTCTGCAAAGACAAAGCACATCTGTCCAGGCTCATGCCTCTCACGGAGCATCATTCTCATTATAAGCAAGAAAGAAAGTACTTAAATCTTTCCCAGGACATCTCTTTCAAACAGCACTCATCAGCTGTAGGTCTACTTTCTATGCTGGGCAATAAAAGATTCAGCCTGAGACCAAAACACATTACAAAATTTCCATCAAAGTTTAAACTAAAATCTATCACTACTGGGATCAGGTGTTGGAGTGTAAGCCTTGTCTGGTAGCTACTCACTACAGAGTGTCTCTCAGCCTGCATTGTGGTTCACACAAATAGCAGTAACTGGGCTCTGGGTTAAGGATGAAAGACGCATGCTCCCCCTACCCCAACACCAGCTTCCACAAACCCAAAGCATGGTGATCTCAGGGGGTGAGGAGCCTGAGGAATAGAATTGTCCTCTCTTAGGAAATCTTTAAACATTTGTTTTGGGATCCAGCAGTTACTTTTCTCTTTAAAACCTTCCTTAGCCAGGGGATGTCTGGTTCTGGTTTTGCAGTCATGAAATGGGGCTTTAGGGGACAGCAACTTACAGAAGAAAGAAAGGGAGGCAATTAGCTCAGTAGACAGGAAGCTAGAGTCAAGCTTGTGGATAAAATGAACCCTCAGAGCCAGAGAGCAGAGAGGGAACTCAGCAAGCTGCTGACTAAGGTTCCTTGTCCTCCGTGGAAATGAACTTGGGAGCAACAGAGTGTTGAAGCTTTCGATGCTTCTTGTAGAGATGTGGGGAGTGATCTGGTGGGTAGATTCCGCTTCATAAGAAGGAAGCTCAGAGGTGAACCTCATATCAGCGCAGTGTGAGGACTGCACCTAAAGGACACAGCATTCTCTAATCTCTCACCAATATATATAACTGAGACAATATATTTTGTTCTCTGTTCACTAATTTAACCTTCTGTCTTAGTTAAGGCTACTGTTGCTATGACAAAACACCACGACCAAAGCAACTTGGGGAGGACAAGGGTTATTTGGCTTTCACTTCCACCCTGTAGTCCATCAATGAAGGAAGTCAGGACAGGAACCTAGAGGCAGGAGCTAATGCAGACTACAGAGGAGGGTTTGCTTCCCATGACTTGCTTAGCTTTCTTTCTTACAGAACCCAGGACCACCAGCCCATGGATGGAATCACCCACCACATTAATCACTAATTAGGAACACCCCTTCCAGCCTGATCTGATGAAGGCATTTTATAAATTGGGGTTCCCTCCTTTCAGCCGAATGTAGCTTGTGCCAAGCTGACATAGAACTATCCAGCGCCCCTTTCCTTCCTCTTAAGTCTCAGTTTTTCTACTCCCTACTTCCTGCTTCACACCAAGCATGTGTTGAACAATAAATTAAAGTGGCAACCTGGATAGATGTACTAATCTGTGACTAAATATTTGACAAGAGGGCAGAAAGGATTTACATTTTGGTCTTCAAACACTGGAAAGTAAATGACTCCCGTTGCCAGCCTTCAAATCAACAAGACTGCAAGGGCAGAACAAAATTTCCTCACATTTATTTGATTGACGATCAAGAACTCATGAAAACATACGTGAAAAAACAGCAGTTGAAACCTGATTGTAAACAGAAGCATCTTAAGCAGGTCAGTGGGACCATGTCTGAGTGAGGCAGATAACAAAAGCATTCTGGTGGGGAATGGATTTGTAAGGTGTGTGACTTTGGTTTACACCACATGCGTTTAACTCCTGTGAAGCTGTGATTCTTTGCATGTCTGAAACACCTGATGGTCCTAATAAAGAGCTGAATGGCCAATAGTAAGGCAGGAAAAAGGATAGGTGGGCTGACAGTCAGAGAGGATAAATAGAAGGAGACAGGAGGAGGAGGAACAACAACAAGAGAACAAGGGAAGGAGGATGTCAGGGGCCAGCCACCCATGGAGTAGGAAGGAAAGCAAGACATGCAGAAGAAAGAAAATCCCAGAGGGAAAAGGTAGACCCATTAATTTAAATAAGAAAAGCTGGCTAGAAACAAGCCCAGCTGAGGTTGGGCAATGATAACTAAGAACAAGGCTCCATGTGTGGTTTATCTGGGAGCTGGGGCGGTGCACCCCCAGAGCCAAAAGAGTAAAACATCACACAATAGTTACATCACACACTCAGTTACATATATTTATGTGTAGTATGAATCACATACAACATATGCATATATTTAATAACTCACTTATCTTCGTGCATTTGTGTATGTGTGTGTAAACGTGTCATTGTATGCACATGTAGGTCAGAAGACAAGTTAGGGTGTTAGTTTGCACTTTCCATCTTGTCTACAACCCGTCTCTCTTTGGTTGTTATTGTTGTTTATGCTGTTCGGTATGCTAGGATGCACCCTCCCCATCTGCTTCTTATATCCTCGAAGGTACAACTGGAATTAAAGATGTACTATCATGTCTGACTTTTCTTGGACTTGGGAGATTCAAACACAGATCATCATGATTGCAGGGTAAGAAGCCCTTAACCCACTGGGTCATCTCCCCTGCACCCTAAGAACTTATTCTATTTTGGGAATACTTTTTGAGTGGCTGACTATCAGGTTTCTAAAGTTTCACTCCACTTTGGAAACACCATAGGTTCTGTTTGGTTTGGTTTTTTGTTTTCTAACTTCCAAGAGCTAGAAATACATGAGACAAACATTACCAGCACCACAATTTAGCGCACCCAAGAAGGGCTCTAGTATCAGTATGAGCCAGGTACCTTTGCAGCAATTAATGAGGAAGAGGGCACCTGATGCTGGTGCCATTCGATGAGAAGCTCTCCAGGAAGACATAATATTCAAATCCAGGATGCCAGCAGACCCTGGAGAGTGAAAATGATGTTCTGACAAAAGAAACAGAATGTTCGGGTTGAGCATAGCGCTGGGCTGAAAGGTTTGGTAAGAACAGTGAGAACATTTGGCGCGATGGCCATTTGCAATTTCAGTTGAGTGCTGAGGGTAGCAGGGTTGTGCCAGGTGCTGGGTACAGAGGCATGGAAGACACAGGTGGCCTCTTCATGGCTCCTGAGATGGGAGGAGGGGTGGCAGATGAGCCTGGGATCACTGAGCAAGCAGATAGCACTGCATAATTGTGGAAGGATTTTTAGTGGCATCCTAATGACACCTTTCTAAGCAACGGTGCCTGTTTCATGGAACACCTCCTAAGTGCTACACAGAACAACTTATTGCTGTTCCTTACTCCGTTCTGCATGGTAAGTGTTTTCTCTATTTATAGGCGGGAAAAGACACTCCAGGTGCCAAAAACTGTGCAGTTTGTAATACACGAGGCCTGGATCTGTACAGAAATCAATCTCTGTCGCTTGGGAATTATAATAGCAGAAGAAGAGCTGAATCCAAGAACATCTTCACCCCAACCCCTGCTTAAAACACTACCTAGAAATGCCTTGGGACTCCTCTGGTCTCTGATGCTGAGGGAAAGCTCTGTGGGGTCTGCCGGTGATATACACCTATCTGCTCTTCCAAGAGTCCAAAGCTTAATGCCTTGTTGGACAAATCTAGAGCCCAGGCATGCTCCACCCTACCCCCATCTCCCTCAAAGCAAAGATTTCCAATTACTGCTCTGCAGAAAAATGTCAAAAGCATTATTCAACAACTCATGATCCCGAGGTTTGTAATTTTTCGTATGTTTTTACTCTTATCTGCCAGCACTTGAAAAAGACCAGCTTTTTCCTCTCAAGAGAGCTTAATTTGCAGAGCTGTGCAGTCTCCCTATTATGCGCTTATCGTCCTCTCCCTGTGGTGGGCAGAATGACAAGGATGACAAAAAAAGAGAACCAAAAATATTTGAAGGCTTCCTGAAAATCTATGGGATGGAGCATCCTAAAAGCCGGAAGCCCCGGTTCCCCCAGTGACCTGGAAGAAGGCAAAGGGCTGTTGGCCCTAGCTCTTGAGGTCCACTCAGCAGGAGCCCCTGGCTAGCGCTCTCAATGTCCAAACCCTCCATCCTGGGGCCCATGGAATTTCCTCTAGCGGCTTTAATTGAAGGATTAACAGCTCTGAGGTTCTTAAAGCGCAAAGAGGCTCTCTCTCCGGAGGAATGTTCATACCAATGCTATATTAAGTTTGGTATCCTAAGGACCAGAGGCCAGGGGAGCTTGGGATGGATGGTTGGCTCTTCTCGGGTCTGCCCTGGCCTCCCCACTCATTCTGATAAGACAGTTGGCATTTTTCTCGGCGCTACGTTAAGTGCTATTCAAAAACAAGTTCAAGCCTCCTAGCTCTCATTCTTCCATCTAGATGGCGCCCCAAACCCTGCCTGCATGGCAATTCTGAGCCGCAGTCTCCCTGGATCGGTTCCTCCCAGGATCCCCAGGAAGCGGGCGCAGCAGGACTGCTGGTTCCCTGGGAGAGCCGCCCTGCCCACCCAGGGGCTTGCTCGGGGGAATCCCCGCCCACCTTGTCATTCCTTGGGGGAATCCCCGCCCCCTGGGCCTGTCACTCCGGGAAGGTAGTTCCCGCCCCTCGACTCCAGCAGTGGCAAGGAATCCCCGCCCATCCTGGAGGCTCGGAGCATCCCCCGCGCTGCGCAGCGAGGAGCTCGCTCCCAGTGCCAGTGCGTGCTGGCGGCGGGACGCGGCGAGGCAGCTGCTGCGGGCGCCCTGCATGCGCCGGGCGGATCGCAAGACGCTCGGAATCGCCGCAACCGGCGAACCCCTGCGGCGCGGCAGCTCCCTGCGGGCGCGGCGACGGCACTGGTGTGTCAGGGGCGGCGGTAGCGACGCGGGCACCGCCGGGCGGCGCCTGAATCTGGACGCGCCAGGAGCGGCTCGAGCCTCCTCCGATCCACAAGCAGGTGAAGCGATGAGGCACTGCGGCCGCGACGACGGGAGAGGGGGGCACCGCGGGGGAGGGGGTTGGGGTGGACTCACGGGGGAGCGGAGCTAGGTAACCCCAAGACGGTGCGCGCCAGAGAAAGTTCATTGACAATCGGGTGCTGGAATCCCAGTCCAAGCAAAGGGCTGAGTGAGGGCACCCAAGTGGGTCCCCACATTAGGTGGCGCAAACTTGCATCTGGTGGGAGGTAAGCGGGCACAGTGGAGGTGAGGGTTGGGCGGAGAGGAACGGAAGCAGTGGGATAACCAGAGGCGCACTGTTGGGACGCCTGAAACCGGCCACGAGCCCTGATCCCAGTGTGCTGGCTGATCCCTCTACCCTAGTCAGTTACTGTCTTCAGCACCGCCCTCCCGGCGCTTCATCTTCTTGCTAACCCCTGGCCCACTAAGTGGAGAGAGAAAGAGTAGGCTTGGAGAGCAAGGACATCTTTGGGGCGATAATAGCTTCTGCCAGTGAGATGGGGGATGTCCCGGTAGGGAAAGTATTTCCTCCACCATGAAGTGAATTGAGCGGCGGAGGGAAGGATCTAGGACCGCGGACAGAAGTTTGCCAGAAGCCTGCCCTCAGCAGCCTGCCCTGTGCATAGTTCTTGATAAGAACCCTGGAGTCACAGCAGATCTGGCATGTGCTGGTGGCAGGCACTGGGAAGACAGACACCCAGGCAGCGGGGCATGCCAGAGGTTGGGCATTGTCAGAGGCCTGAGCTGGAGCTTGTCTCTTCCATGTGTTTTGCTTGACAAGACACCATGACCATGAAACTCCCAAACAGGTAAGTGGTTGCTGAGTGGCCGAAGAAAGTGAGCTCCTGTTGCAGACATACCCCTGGATCCTCAGGGCACCTTCTGGGGAGGGGGTGTCCTCTCACACTCATCCCTGGCTTGGGCTTTAGGTCCTCACTGTTTCTCCTGGGTCAGCCTTTTCTGGCCTGTGGGAGCCAAGTAGGCACAGGCTGGCAGGTGCGGTGTGGGAGGGCCGTTTGTGAAGGCGGAATGAAATGTCTCAGAGCACACCTCTGGCTGTGGGTGGTGGTTCAGGCTACATGAATTTCTTCTCCTATTAGGATGAGCCAGGAACTGCTGCTACTATAAAAGCCACACCATGGTGTGAGCTTGTGTGGCGTGTTACACCAGGGTAGGAGTAGCAGGGGGTAGGTGTTAGGAGAGGAATCAGAACGATGTGAAGTGTATAAATGCATCCCCTTGACATAGTTAATAAGTGCCTGGAAAAAATATTGAATCGTGCTTTTTGAATCTATTGTTGAAATTGATTTGGGATACTCTTATGCCAGTTTACTATTTAAGGAGACGTAGGGTAATTCCTCCAATCATTGCTATCATTTTGGAGCACCTGTGGTTTGCTGGGCCTAGCGCTTCCAGGGGATGTGTGTGTAGAGGAAAGAGGCTCTCTGTCCCTGCTGTGACTCACTTGGTGTAGCAGGAGAAGTCTCTGGACAGTGATGATGACAGCCAGTGCCCTTCCGGCCTGTGTAAGTTCCCTATGTTTAGTGGGTGAAGGATTGAAGGGATAATTAAACGAGTGATTCAAGTGTGTTCCAAATGAACATCTTAGGGTTCCGTAGGAGAGAAAGGCCCCCTTCACAGTGGGGATCTGAAGGCTTTGTGGAGGCCCACCCAGGCGAGGAGGTGTGTGCCAACAGGTTGATCCTGTCTCAGCTTCTTCCATGGCAGAAGAGGCTGAGCTTCGACCCACAGGCATCTAGTTTTGCAGACAACTGGGAAATGTTTGGGGTTTTGAGCAAGGAGCTGTCGTGAGCAGCAGGTATATGCTTTGGGCAGTCTCTAGCAGAAAGAACTGAGATAGGGAGAGAGGAGAAGTGGTGACATGTCTGATGAAAAGGTCCTTTTAGTGAGATGGCGGGGGGGGGCAGTCAAGTCCTGCGCTGGTGATGGGAGCTTGTGGAGAAGAGGCACCCACTGTGGGGTTGGAGTGTGGGCATGGATAGGATTAGCAAGCAGAAACAAAGGCCGCCTGCAGGTTCTAAGCGCAAGTAGGTGAGCTAAATTAGGGAGTTTGGGTTTTTACCATCAGACAAGCCAGCAATCCGCAGAATCCTTCCAGACTTTGTGTATGTGTGTATGTGTGCGTGTGAGTGAGTGTAGGCACGAGTGGGTGAGTGTCTGTGAGGGTGTGACATCGCTCATGGTAGAAGTGAGGTGACAATTTTGTGGAGACCATTCTCTCCTTTCACCATGGGTTCCAGGCTCTAAGCTCAGGAAGACAGGCTTGCATAGCAAGTACCTTTACCAACCGAACCACCCAGCCAGCTCCCGGCCTTCCTGTTCTCACTATATCTTGTAAAACGTGTCAAGGCTCTGGGGACCTAGGGGATAAACAGTTCAAACCACACACACACACACACACACACACACACACACACACACACACACACACACACGCCAGACATACAGACACTCAACAGATACATACACACAGACACACACAACAGACACATAGACACACACACACAACAGATAGACACACATGACAAACACATAGACACAGGACAGACAGACACACTCACATATGAGTCAAGGAGTAGTCTTCCTTAATAGCTGTTGTCTTTGCCTTGTGAAGCTGTTTTCCTTGGGTGGTGAATTCTGAACTATCTTTTGTCTGTGGTCCTGATAAGCCTCTTCTTCATCAAGATCCAGTTCCCAGGCTTCCTCTGTGGCTGTTCCACCATTCCTCCAGGAGACCTTGGTGCTTTTTACTGCCTACTCCCTGCAGAGCCCGAGGACCTGCTCATCAGGCTGCCTCCTTTCTCTGGGACAGTGGTTTTTAACCTGTGGGCTGCAACCCTCACAGGGGTGGGATATCAGATATCCTGCATATCAGATATTTGCATCACGATTTATAAGAGTAGCAAATTATAGTTATTAAATAGCAATGAAATAATTTTATGGTTGGAGGTCACCACAACATGAACTGTATCAAAAGTTAGTAAGGTTGAGAACCACTGCCCTAGGAACTTATTATATACTACTTGGCCCACATGAGACCTGGTCCAGTGACCTGAGGCTAGACAAAAAAGTCCAGGGGAACTGCCCCAGGATAATTGCACTCTGGGGTCTCTAAACTCTCAGTGGGAGTTCTCAGGGGGCTGGCAAGGAAACAAGGGGAATAGATGCTCCCTTGACTTAGATCACATGAACCTAAAAGTCATCTGATCCTCCTCCTTGGTGAAGCATCCTCATCTATAAAGGTAACCCAGGTCTTGGGTACATCAACCCCAAGGGGGGAAACTGTCCCAGAGAAGAGGAGTTTATCAAAGGTCACAGCCAAACCCAAGAGGAGGTAGAACCTCTGGGAGACTTTCTTCTGTCTTCAGGAATGTTCCCAGCGTGCCCAGCAGAAGGCTGAGCACAGCATGTGGTTGACATAGGAAGAGTTGGTTGGTCCTAAGTGGATGGGGATGGGGCAGGAAGGAGACAGGCGTGGAAGCTGATGCCCAGAGAGATGCAAGGGAAAGGCCACTGGCAGAGACTGAGAATGATCTAAAGCAGGGGCTCTCAACAGAAAGAGTCCAATGGCCCTTCCACAGGAGTCTCCTAAAACCATTGGAAAGCACAGGTAATTTACATTACAGTTCATAACAGTAACAAAACTGCAGCTATGAAATAGCAATAGAAAGAGTTTTATGGTTGGAGGTAATCACAACATGAGGAACTGTATTAAGAGGTCGCAGTGTTAGGAAGGTTGAGAAGCACAACTCTAAAGGATGGTCACTGAGTCAGCTTGTAAAGTAGAACATGATGGAAGAGAGCAAAGACAGGCCCACCACGTGCCAGCAGCACCGTGGGGTGTTTGGAGAAGGGAGTGGGACTTGAAGGGACGTATTTTCAGGAGTGAGGCCCAGTTTTCCCTCCCCAGGCCTGTTGGCAAGCAACAGAAAAGTGGGAGAAAATGGAAAATTCGGAGAAAGGGCGTTTGAGAAGAATGAGGTTGGAGACAACCAAGAACAGGTACAGGCAAAGAAAGAGGCTGTTGGGAGAGCACTGGAGAGAGGAGGCCATAGCTCCACAGCCAGGGGGATTGTGGACTCAAGTCTTCTTGGTGATCCAGGAGCCGTCTGCAGAGAGCTGGTATGCTACCTACTTAGACTGGGGACTTGGAAGGAAGGCACTGCAGTGTCACTGCTAGCCCTGGGAAACGAACCTGGTTCTCTCTGAGATAGCTAAGGGGGGAGAAGGAGGAACCTTGACTGGAATTTAAGCAATGCAGAGAACGTCTTGCTGACCAGGTCACTGGAATTTCGGAGTAGCTATTGCACAACGGCTTTTAAGAGGTATATACACAGAGGTGCTGAGGCGTGCAAGTCCCCAAATGACCCCCTCTGGTGTGCAGTGGGCCCTTTGGAACAGCTTGGTGAGAAGGGAATAAATCTCTCACCTTACCATTCTCACTGAGTGTAGCTAGGGCGACATCAGGGTTGGGGGTGACCAGGCAGGCTCTCCTTCAGGGTTGGGGGGTGACCAGGCAGGCTCTCCTTCAGGGTTGGGGGGTGACCAGGCAAGCTCTTCTTCAGGGTTGGGGGGTGACCAGGCAGGCTCTCCTTCAGGGTTGGGGGGTGACCAGGCAGGCTCTCCTTCAGGGTTGGGGGGTGACCAGGCAGGCTCTCCTTCAGGGTTGGGGGGTGACCAGGCAGGCTCTCCTTCAGAGTTGGGGTAAGAGCTTTACTCTACTCTACCTGCCATTATTGTTCTCACCCTTTGGGCTTTGTCTATTGGCTTACATCAGTGGCTCCACCATCATCTGATGTCCTGCTTAAGCAAAGGCCCAGTTTCTGGACTCATCAGGATGATCTGCCCTGCGCCCTGTGATCTGGAGAAGGGACCATACATCACCCTTCCCGGTTCCTGTCTCTGAGAAAGCTGAGGCCCAAGAAAGAAAGTAGTGACCCCGTTTCCCAGCTGGAACTGAAATTGCAGCAGGCCCTTG